TTCTCGGAGTGGGCATAACCCCTCCACCTCACGGAGTAGCTGTCGGCTTATCGCGACCACCGTTGCTCCTGGAGAGATTCCGCTTCCACGTGGAAGTGGACTTTCTCCATTCCGGTCAAAGCAGGGGCGGAGGTGCCCTCGTACGATTACGAGTACTCCGCGCCCTCCGAGAGCCACTCTCGTCCCGACTGCTCCGAACCGACACAGGACCCTGAGGGTTGACCCGCCTCCGTCAACGTGTCCTCGTGCTTGAGATTGCACTTGGCCCTTGGGACTGGCGGTAATGCTGCCGCCCAGGCCGGGAATCAGGGCGAGCTCGCTCGTCTTGCGGGTCGCCTGGACCTGGTGGAGCGAGAGGTCGCGAGCCTGCACCTGCGGGTGGATCGCCGGGCCTCTTCGTCCGATCTGGACGAGGCCTTTCGAATGATCCGACGGATCGAGGCTTTGTTGCCACGTCCGGAGCCGCCTGCGGCACACTCCCAGACGTACGCGTATGGTGCGTACCCGGCGTACTCAGCGTACTCGGCGTATGGCGCCGGGATCCGTTCGTATGGAGCCCCTCCGGCGTACGGTCTTGACCGCAGCCTTGCCGTCCCGACCGAGGCTTGGGTGCCTGCTCCGACGCCCTCGTCGACGACTGTGACCGGCCCTCGCTTCGAGGAGCTGGGTCAAGGGGGGACTGCGAGTCAGCAACCCCCTGCGGGTCAAAGTACCGCTTAAGACGTCCGACATAGAGCGTCGGGTGCGTCGTCATTGACTTTGGAAGGTCGATGGTGTACGACGCACCATGTCTGGCCAGGACTGCAAAAGGTCCGATGAAGCGGTGCTTCAGTTTGTTGCTGCCGACAGAGCTGACAGTGTCAAGAGGTAGGCTTCTCGTGTCTAGCAACACTAAGTCCCCAGCCTCAAATATACTTAAGTTACCTCTTCCTTGTTTGTCTGAGTACTCCTTTTGTTTATCTTGGGCCGCTGCCATGGCATCGCGGACCCAGCTGACAATGTTCAGCTTGGTATCCATAAAGGATTCCACCTGTTTCCGCAGCGAAACTGGTCTCACATCCGAGACCTGGGAGGAAAGGGCTTTCCGAGCCTCTCCCCTACTTAGAATAGAGGAGTCAGTGTCTCCTCGAAGGGTGAGAGGCACTCTGGGGTGGCGGAAGCCGTTCAAGTAGAACGGCGTGAGCCCCGTGGACGCGTGCACCGCGTTGTTGAGCGCAACCTTAACAACTGGAACCTGCGTTGACCACGTACGTGGTGCTGCCGCGCACACACTGCGCAGAGTGTCCTCGAGCACTCGATTGACGCGCTCTGTTTGGCCGTCTGTCTGCGGATGGTCCGCAGTGGACATCTGCAGACGAGTTCCCAGTAAAGGGAACAGCGTTTTCCAAAACGCAGCAGTGATTCGTGGGTCTCGGTCCGAGACAATTGTCTCTGGGAGACCGTGATAGCGGAACACGCCATCGACGAACAACCTTGCGGCTTGTTCGCCCGTAACAGTGACGGAACTGGATCAAGATGTACCATCTTGCTCAGCCGACACACGAACATCAAAATTCCGGTGTTGCCGTGTCCGTCGGCGGGAAGCCCAAAGATGAAGTCTAGACTCATCGACTTCCAACAATCAGTCGGTACGGGCAGGCTCTGTAGTGGAGCCAAAGAGTGCCCTGCGGGTTTGACCCGCTGACATGTTTCGCATGTCTTAACGTACCGGGCGACCCACTTGTACATGAGGGTCCACCAGAAGGACTGAGAGATCGACAGGAAGGTCTTCTCGCGACCCAAGTGGCCGCTGGAGGGAAAGTGGCCGCTGGAGGGCGCGTCGTGCGCCTCCGCGAGGATATCGAACTTTAGATCCTCGTCGTTGGGTACGACCACCCGTGGGAGATCATTGGCCTCCACCCGGTAATAGAGGAGGCCATCCTTCAACTCATATCGGTGGAGCCGTGAGCGCTGTCGCGACGAGAACCAGTCGGACTCCGCGCTCGTTCCTGCTATACGGAACTTGACGATAGGCGCGACAGCCTTATCGTCCAGATACGCCATGCGTATCCGATCATATAGGTCCGCTGCCACCCGCGTGATGTGGGCCAACCCATAGTCAGGACGCCGAGAGAGGGCGTCCGCAAGCACGTTGAGCTTGCCCGGCTTGTACTCGACGCGGAAGTTGTATATCGCGAAGAAGGACAGCCACCTCGCCATCCTTTGGGAGAGGTGAGGTGAGCTAGTCGCCGTCCTCAGGGACGTGTGGTCTGTGTAGATCACAAAGGGCCTAGAGCCCAGAAGGTGAACACGGAA